AATAGACATGACAAACAACTTCACGGCCACAGTGTTCGCCATCGGGAATACCATAGCGTTTACATGCGGTGTCATAACACCCCTCGTGATCGGGTATATACTGGAGGCTAACGACGACACCCCCCGTAAGCAATGGGGTTATGTTTTCTATATGTCGGGCGCTATCAATATATGCGGGGGTTTGGTGTTCGCGGCATTCAGTTCAGCGAAACAACAGGATTGGGATAAAGACCCGGATAGTCAACAAAATGATGATAAGATAGTTACCAGAATATAATATTAATAGGAAATTACTTAATAATAACACTGTTTATATAATTTATCATGCTATTACTGTATTTATTATATTTTGTAATAATGTATACATAAAAATATTATTTTTTGTAAAAATTTTTATAATTTAATTATATTTAATTAATTCATTATTATTTACATTATTTTCTAATTTACATAATTATTAACTTTATAATGTTACAAATATATATGAATTTTAGATTTGTTTAAATCAGTATATTTATATCATAATTTAAGTACATATAGTAATACTGTAAAATAATGTACACTATTTATTTTGATATTTTAATATGTACAATAAACCCTATATTACATTTTAAACTATAATTATAATTATAATGTTTGATAAACAGTGCAAAAATAGTTTGAAAAATAGCCTCCAATTTTTATGTACAACAACTTATCATAGTGTATATCAAGTACAATTCAATAGGAATTGCCTAACCTTTAACAAAAATCCTTAACGTTGGCTATACCTGTAACTTAAAATCACTGTTAGAAACCTATTATAAGATATCTCTAATACCTTAAACAAATGCCAATAGACTTAAACACACAGTAGTAACACGTGATTAGCAAAAGTTACGATAAGTTTCACTAATATTTGCTTTGATTTCATGCATCAGAAAGTGTTTATAAATCCATTGAAACGCAAAACTCGACTCAAACTGAAAACAAAAACTTTTATTTCTCGTAAAACACGTTATGAGTGACTATAAGACCAGCGATGATGACAAACACGGAATCGCCAGCCATGAGAGGACCGGTAGCTTATCGGCCGTACCTACGGGCAGTGCACCGGCCATACCTATTAGATACATGGTGGCCGGGCTGGTGTTACTGTGCACATTCAACCTATACATGTGCCGCATAAACCTAAGCACGGCTATCGTGGCAATGAGCAAGTTCAATAAATCCAGTTCCCCTGGTGGTGGTAGCGATGTGTGCGGCACTGGTAACTCGGATACCGGTGCTAAAAGTCACGACACTGGGGAGTTTGACTGGAGCGAGAGTGACCAGGGTGTTATTTTAGGCGCATTTTTCTATGGGTACCTGGTGTTTCAGGTAGTAGGTGGGCGATTGGCCGAGATTTTTGGTGCTAAATGGTTGTGCGCGGGTGGTATAGGCATGTCTATACTGGTGAACGCGCTGACACCGATGATAGCCAGGTCACTGCATTATTGGCTACTATTGGCCAGTCGTGTGGTGTTGGGTATGTTTCAGGCGTTCATATTTCCGTCGTGTTATGCCTTGTTTTCTAAGTGGGCGCCCGACCACGAGCGCAGGTATGTAAATAGTAATGTACCTGTATTATTGTTATTAAAAATACTACCTAGGTGCAAATGTAAATGTACATAAGTTTTGTAATTTATTTTTGTCATTTAATTTTTCAGTACTTTCCTATCATTCCCGACAATTGGCGGTAATATCGGCACAATAGCTACCAGCTCACTATCAGGCTACCTGTCCGAAAATGGCTTTGATGGGGGTTGGCCCTCGGTGTTTTATGTGTCAGGTACTTTTATTAAGTTTTAAAGTTTGTAAACTAAATTACTAATAATGTAAATACTGTTTAACATTAATAGCTATGTTAGCCATGGTTTGGATGATACTGTGGATACTATTAGTGAAAAGTGAGCCCAAAGATCATCCCTGGGTATCCCATCACGAGTTGCATTACATTCACTCCAATATTAAGTCTATTAAAACTGGTGGACAGCCTGTTAAGAGGTCTGTCCCGTGGGTTAAGATATGCACATCGAAGGCCGTGTTATCCGTGTTTTTGGTGAAGTTCACAATGAACTGGAATTATGTATTGTTTTTACTTAAACTACCTGCCTACTTTGATACAGTTTTTAAATACTCAGTGTCCAAGGTATGTATTATTATTTTGTATAGTAGTTTCAACATTATAATTGATAAGTTACTTGAAATAATTTTATTTTAATACAGAATGGACTCATTAACTCAATGGTGTATGTTGTGTTGACAGTTAGGTGGGTGCTATTTCATGAACATTATTATAACTAACCTAACCTAACCTAACCTAACCTAAGCATACAAAAGCCTCAAATAACTTTGTTATTAATAATGAAAAATAGTTAAATATTATAATAGATATAAATGGTGAAAACTTTTTTTAATTAAAAAATGTGTTTATTTAAGTAAAAAGTTAATTAATTAATTTTTAAAAAATTTCATTTGCAGTATGTTTGCCAGTGGTTTTATCGCCGATTACTTAGTCCGCAAAGAAGTTGATAAAACAATTTTGAGAAAAACTTTTGAGACAATCGGTGAGTAGTATTTCACTGATAAACTAAATATACCTCCGATTTTATCATTAGATTAGTTCATTTCGTACGTAACTACAGGTATAATAGAAAATATAATTTGTTCGTACTATTTGTGCACTAGTAGTATGCAGACTATAATCTGATATACATTTACTATGTGTTTATATCACAATGATATTTGAAATTTAATATTAGTATGTGTTTGTGTATGGATTTGGTGCAAAAAGTGTTAAGTAGTTTCAATGATTTACGTGTAATACCGGTGCCGGAGATTAATAAGGAGTTTCTCATTAAACACTTATACTTATAATAAATATTATTTATTTTTAAAGGATTGTTGATTATAAGTTATATTATATTTAGTTTACTTTTATAAAATATATAAGATATAAAATAAATTTATTAAGATTAATACTAATACTGTATTTTACACAAACAATAGCCACGTTTGGAGCAGGGACATGTCTGATTGTCATACCATTAGTTAATTGCAACGATACCGCGGTTATCGCCCTTTTAATGATCGTAAATATTAATTAATTTTGGAAATTAATACAAAAATTTAGTATATTATGTATAACAATAATTTTAACACAACTACCAGGGTATGCTATTATTTGGCGTATCAGCCGGGGGTGAAATAGCTGTTATAGCAGGTGGGTGCTAAATCTATACATACTTACAGTATATAAAGTTTTTAATAAAAGTCTGAATTTTAAACTTTTATATTTGATATCATATATCAATAGACATGACAAACAACTTCACGGCCACAGTGTTCGCCATCGGGAATACCATAGCGTTTACATGCGGTGTCATAACACCCCTCGTGATCGGGTATATACTGGAGGCCAACGATGACACCCCCCGTAAGCAATGGGGTTATGTTTTCTATATGTCGGGCGCTATCAATATATGCGGGGGTTTGGTGTTCGCTATATTTGGTTCAGCGAAACAACAGGATTGGGATAAAGACCCGGATAGTCAACACAATGACGATAATATTATTACCAGAATATAAAATATTTATTTATTTATGATTTATTAATTTAATTCTATTACATAATTTTTAAAAATTATTTGATAATAAAAATGCAAATACTTGGTATTTTATAAATACTGTAAATAATTAATAAATATGACGAGGGTGCATTACTAATCTCGATTAAAGCCGTCGTTATTATTGCCATTGTGTTGGCCCACTCTGTATGATGTGTTTGAATAGTCGTTCATTTGTTGGACACTATTATTGTCTCTGTGTTTCACTTTCTTAGACCTAGATAATATTTTCAAAAATTTATATACATTTGAAATAAAAACATGGAGTTAAATATAATTTTATAATTATTTTTATAATACTTAAATTTTAAAATTAAATCACTTATAAGTTTCTATGAAACTGTAATTTTATAAATTATGTTTAGACAAATCTAACCTAACACATTATTACATATACTGATCTAACTTTTAAAAAAATCAAAATTTAATACAATTATCACTGAAAATCTTTGCAAAATTTTAAAAAGTATAATGATACATTCCACACACATACTTCAAAAATTTTAAACATTAACTTACTTATTCACGATCAGTAAGGTTTAATATAAGTTAATAATTACTAAATTAATTACCAACGTACTTTTTATAGAAAATAAAAGCCACCACCACCAACATAATGCACACCACGGCTAATACGCTAACCCCGGCGATCCAACCTCCCAGTGCCGGCTCGTCGGACACCGATATCTTTTTGTCGCAATTGTCACCATACCAGCCCTCATTGCACTTGCAGGCGACCGCACTCTTACCTTTTGGCTCACACTTACCTTCATTACACTGAATACCGTCGCAAACACCTATTCGTGAATTGGAAAAGCTAGTTAATTTTAACGTTTACATTAAATTGTTATATGTCTAAATTGCTACTATCATAACAGGGTACATGATAATTATTAATAACGAAAAATAATCAGTGTGATTCATTTTAAATTTTTATTCGCATGGTTAAAGGTTATGGTAAACTTACCGACACATTTATGGCCCTCAATTTTAAATTGATCCTCGCACGCGCAACTAACATTTGCTGTCCATGTTTGTTTGTCAGTGTCGTACACTGGTAGCGCCTGTATGCATTGGGCATCGGATATCTTATGGCAATCGTCGCATAGTGTACCTTTAACTAGGTAAATAAATGTATTAAATTACTAAATTTGGATGTTTTTAATTAAAAATAATTAATACATACTTGCGCATTTTTCCTTGTAAATTGATTTTGTATTATCCGAGGTAGGTACTTCTTGGGAACCAGTTGCAGTAAAATATGCCGGGTTACATACGCATTTATACAGTGAGGGATCGGTGTCAGGTATACAGTCCGACCACAAATCACATACAGATTTATTCGATTCGCAACCCTAGTATAAGCAAAGTTCATTTAATTTATTTATATCAAGATTCAATTTTGAACTTATTTACAGCATATCTATTAATAGTAGCCTTGGACAATTCTGTTGAATCAAATTCCATAGAAAATATTTTCTCGTCCGTTGCTCTATTTATTGAACGCTCAATGTCAATCGGTAGTAATCCTTTATCAGGCTCAAATAACAAATTACATTTGCCAGATCTAGCTGATGTTACGCAAAATTTTCTCAGCTGTTCGCCAATGTTTGATATTTTATCAAGGTTATTTATTATAACAGCTATTTTACACACGTACGATTCTGATTGTACCAGTTCACACTGTGTAACCATAGCGTTGTCTACATCAGTAACTAGAAATTTGCTTAATTGGTTAGTGATAAAATTGGCCGCGGTACGATTCCTATATTCCACGCTAATAGCATCGCGTACAATTTGATTCTGTTTGACAGCACTGTTGTATTCCGTCTGAAATGAACCTGATATTCCGACGTATTTAAACATGGCGTTCAACTGAGCGCGATCATCAATGGTAAACACATTTTTAACTTTCTCTAATCCCTCGTCCATTTTGGTTATGGGCTTAAATGTCAACGTAAATGTACCCGATTTTGCCGCTACCAAGCACATTTTATCTTTCGAGTCCCACGTGTACCCTATATCACAGTCGCAATAATCTACAGTGGCAATTTCTATTAATCTTAATGGATTGCACCCTAGTGCGTTGCGCGATCGACATTTCACATTTCCCGTTATACCATTATCATCGTAATCAATGTCACACTTATTGACACATCGATGACTACCATCGCTGATTTCTTCGGTACCATCCCGGCATGTGCAATTATATTCAAGCTCGTTATTTGTGCCGTCCACTTTTTCGTAGTAACAGTAGGCATTTCTTGATTTACAGTCAATGTAGCCCGGTGCGCCCTCGCTACATACAGGTTTTAGTACGCATGTATTTGTAGCAGGATCCAATTTGTAAATTCCTTCGCACTTACAACGAATAACATCCGTTACTGTTTCGTCCAAACCGTCTGGACAAACATTATTAGTATCCAAATTTTTGTCGGCAACTGTAAATAGGTCAAAAATTATATTTTATAAAATTAAATACCATCTTATGATGATAGAAATAGAAAATATCAAACGTTTATTTAAATTAAATTACTTGTCAGTGAACTATTTTATATTTTTAATAAATAATCTTTATATAACAATAATTTAATTAAATTATGGAAGTATTAATTAAAAATAATATTAATGACGAATAGATAAAACACGACTATAAATTGATATAGATTGAAAATGCTAAAAGTAATTTTATAAACTATTTACAATCGATGAGCACAAAAAGCAATTTGGGTCATACTATGTGACAAAACTTTAAACATTTTAACATTAACCTCAACACAGATTAATGTTATAATATTCACTGTTTTATCACCGTTAATGTGGCCCGGATTACGATGCATGCTCATCATAACTATTTACCATCAAGTAGGCAATTATCTTTGGCATCATTTAGTTTATAACCAATTTTGCATTCGCATTTATTACTATTGCAATAGGCATGTTTATTTTCGGTACATTTATCTTCCCCGCAAATACATTCAAATCCAGTGCCATCAGTATTGGTGTTTTCTACACACCATTGTTGGCATTTATTTAAACCGGGAAATTTACACGGATGCCTTATGCACTTTGTTTGCAATTCGTCAAGCACGCTTAGAGCTAGCAAAATTTTTAATCAATAAATTATGTTAATATAAACATCATTAACATTAATTAAAAAAATAAATTTGTTTAAATAGTTACGTACATTTATAATATCCACTTGGGCAAACACACATGAAATCGTTATCACCAGTGCCAAACGCTAGACATGTTGATGGTTTTTCGCACGGATCCTTGTTATTTTTGTTACAAGGTGTTGCTGGCACACATTTCTCTATACCATTTTCTGTTATCTTAATTAATGTGTCTCTACACTCGCATTTAGCATCAGGTTCAACGCAATACATTGTGTTAAAATCCGGGCACGAGTCCGATGTGCATTTGGGTAATTGATCACAACTATGTAAATAATAATTATATATAATTAAAATATTAATAATAAATTGTTAAGTTAAAACCTTTATATAATATAATTTTATTATTTTGTAAAGTTATAAATTCTTTTATATAAACTAAATAAAATAAATGTATTATTTAAATATTATTGACATTGTTATACAATACTTTTTAGCATGATAAAATTTTAGCATTTTTAGCGCAAACCATATTTAGAGTACTTTTGTTTTATAGTAATACTGTCATTTAATTTTATATTAAATGAATTTTAATGGTACAATATACATTAGTTTAATTAACTTTAAGTTAAAAATGAAATATAATTACGTGTAATTCTTCAAGTTCCAATAAGTATCAACTTTGCAATCGCATATAAAATCATCTAGTATAGGAATACATGCCAGATCATTACAATATGTTTTTCCGTTAGTTTCTATATCTTGTCCATTAATGGTATGCTGAATAAGAATTTAAAATCAAATATTATTAATAGATTATTATTAATATTAATTTTGTACCGATTAGAAATTTTGAAGCATGATCATTTTGAAACATGATATAATTTATTAACAAGAGTAATTTTATGCGCAATTGATTGTATGTACATACTTTTTTAGACCTAATGCAATAATTGACATCCTTGCACCTTTTACCGATATATTCATCCTCGCACTCGCATTTAGCACTTATAGGGGTTGTGCTAACATTTCGATAACACCAACCCTGATCGCCCGTACAATCGTTGTACGTAATACCATCATCAGAATTTATGCACGGGTCACCTAGATTAACCGATGCTAAACTTAATAGATCCAGGTTCATGTCTAGTAAGAATTTAATTTCAACTTGGAATCCTATTCGAAAAAATCCCATTCCGGCTGTATTTATTGTAATGTTGTAGAGTTGGTCATCCTAAGTGTTTTTAAAAAGTGTTAAAAATATTTCATTGCTAACAATTATTTATTTTTAACCTTTATTTCCGTCGACTGCACACTTTGTTTCATATCTTGGTCAAATAAAATAACTTTAATGATATGTGCGTTTGGAATTAAATTTTTAAATTGAAATTTTAATTTATGTTCATCAACTGTTTTTGTTATCCAATCGCTTAATAAGTATGAATAGTGTGGTACTAGATCTTTATTAGCTATATGAAAAGGGCAAATAAATAACTTTTCATTAACTATAACTTATTCTATAATATTTAAAATTTATTGTAATATTATATTAATAAGTTTTTTGTATACCACTAAATTGAATGATCTGGGGGCTGTGAGCATCGTCCGGTATCATTTTCCACTCATTTGCTGAACCAAATGTATCTGGCCAAAATTGATACATGTTGAATGGTTTACCTTTCTCATCTGACCAATATGTTATATACTTTAACCATTCAGCCTTGTTTTCATACACTTTTGTTATTAAATTATCCCATTTAACAGCTAAAACATCCTCACTAACATCCTTAATACTCGCACTTAATATGAGGCTTTTACCGTCGACTGAACGCACAAATTTACCTAAGCATATGTCACTAGCAGGGTCCATTTGTATCCAATTGTAATTATAAATTTGAGTAGAAAACTTAATTAAATTATTTATGTCACCCCCTATTCCGAGTTCGGAATTCTTAGTATTTTGGTAGCTTAATGAATTAATACATATATCTTTATTTCCATTAGCAGGGTCAACGGATAGTTCCAGTTTTGAAGCTATATCGTTGCTAAATGTGTAATAAATAATATCTGTTTGTCCAAAAGTGTCCTTGATAATCGGGGCGTTTTTATGGGAATATTCAAATTCTAGTGCATTAGGAATGTCGGTTTTGCTAAATATTTTGCATTCGTCCCCGGTGCAACCAGCTTGTTTATTTTCGTAGAAATTCCGCACGCACCTTTAATTAAACTAATTTATTAATACAAGCATATTTCAAATTATAAAATATAGTACACACCATTGAGTTTCAAAATTTTAAATCACATAAAAATAGCGATTTATAATTTAGAGTGATTTATAACTTATTAAATACACTAGTTATTTTGTATCATTATAAACCTAATCAATATTTATGATTTAATTTTTATGACACGCTAATAAAGCTACAAATAACAATTAACTGTACAGTATACATCACTAATTGAAATAATTTGAAATAAGTGGAACTCATTGGAACACACTATAGTATTATATTATTAAATTAAATAAATTTTGTTAAAAATTACCGTTGTACACTTTGAACCCATGTAAACTCAGTATCATGGCAATTGCACTGAAATGTAGGACCAAGTACTAGACATTGATTTTCATTTTCAGTGGCTGTATCAGGTAATCTTGGGAATTTGTTGCAAAAATCAACCTGTAATTTTTAAAAGTAAGTATTTTAATAATTAAAATTTATATGTAACATTTTAACATACTTTATCTAGACACTTGTCACTTTCGCAATTTATGCCACCATATCCTGGTGTACATAAACAGTCATAATTTTCCGGCCCTTTCCCAATACATTTGCCATTAGGTCCACATTTATTTTCACCTTTTTCATTTTTGCTACAAGGATCACCGAGGTAAAAGTCCGATATTGTTATATCTACTTCACCTACTTCATCAGTTAACTGTTTATAATTAATTTCGAAAATAATTTTGAATATGTTAATATCCGTTTGCTTAGGTATCTGAATTGTTTGCTGTAACACAGTATTTTGTGTCTCAATATTTATTGGACCTGTATCAGTTATTATAGCCACATTATCCTTATCTAGGTACAAGTGTTTTTGTCGAAATTCAACTTTAACCTGCTTGTTATTTACTTTAATATTATAATAATATTTTTGAGTTTCCAGTTTAACATCGCTTTTAATCCAATCACTAATTAAGTAGACATTTGTTGATGTTTTAGAAGTTACTTGGTTGTCTATACAAAAATATGTAAAAATTAATTATTTATAAGAAATATATTATGTTAGCAAAGCAATATAACTCGGTTTTTATGAGTGTTAAATCATAATAATATTAAAAATTATATTAAAACAGAGTTCATGTAATTGTTATATACAGTATATTTATAAAACAATATTTAGGTAACTATTTTAATAAGATAACAACTATTTGCTTATATTTCATATTACTATATTCAACATAATTTTATATTACCTTTAAAATTAAATGAAAAAGGTTGTGCATGGTCAGTTTCAGGCACAAATTTACCCTCTGGAAAACTTGACCATAACGTACTCGCTTTCGGATCATCAGTATTACCATTAACCCAATGTTTCAAATAACTAATCACTGATAACTTGGACTGTTCTACATTAGTGTCAAGGTTACTTATAACAACATCGGCAGTATCCGCATCAAACACGGCTTTTATTTCAATGTCAAATGTTGCAAAATAAACCGATCGATATTGTTGCAAGCATATTTTCAAATCAATCCCCTTTTCGTCGGTTGTTGTCAAGGCTAGATTTTCCACCAATGGTTGTGGTTTTTGATTAGCTAGGTGAGTAATTTTGAGCCTAACATTAATAGTGTCTTTTTTGACATAGTTAAATATTAGGCAAAAATCGTTATTAGTCGCATCAACAGCTTTATCGACATTAATATTATATTTCAATGAGTTTTCCCTTTCCGGCTTTGTGTATTTTTTATTATTGTCCGGGGACCAACCAATTGGGATAACCTTTTTATTTACACATTTAAATTCGTTGTCGTAAATACATTGTCCAATGTCGGGTGTGCAGGTTTTCCCAATCTATTTTTTAAAAATTCAAATATTTAAAATTGCAATTTATTTTTAAATTAAAAATTATCACATATAGATTGTAAATATTAAGTTATTTAATTTTAAGAAATTTTTAGTGATTTTCACCGAGAACAAATTGTTTAAATTTTTAATACTATAGTAGTGACATAATTACATTGAATTCAATTTTCAACACAGTGTTAATCACATTTCATATTAATTATAAACCTTCTATAAAAATATTTAAACTATATTCATAATAACTAATTAATAACGGGTGTTCCACTTGGAGCGAAAGTTTTAAATCTTTAATTATTAAAAGATGACAAAAGCAATCTTAATCAAATAAATTTTAAAATACTGATGAATGTATGAGGTTTTGTTGTTCATATATAATAAATTTCTAAATGCACAGGGAGGTCGTGTAGTTTTTCTAAATCAAAAAGTATAAGGTATATCTAAGATCTGATTATTGGAATGAAGAGATCTCGAAAAATAAATTGGAATTGCATTTTCAATTATTAAAATATCTCAAGAAGTGACCCCTCTGCACAACCTTAAAATTATATTATAATTAACATTTTATATATACATTATATTTGTAATGTTAAAACAATTGAAAATTACAAACTTTAAGGTTGTGCAGAGGAGTCATTTCTT